GTTTCAGTGTATAGTTTACAGCGCACGCTCAGAATAAACACCTCAAGACCGCTAATCTCGGTGGTCTTGAACCTGTGGAATGCGCACTGAAATTTACAAAAGCATTGTGGTAGCTAGTCGCCAGCTATGGACTCAGCTATGACCCCCAATGAACACCTCCTATTCAGAAATATCTACTTTTACGCTAAGAGTTGCTCTTCAGGTTGAGCATATTCAACCACACAAGCAGTTTTGACGAAAGCTGTTCAGCTGAGAAAGGATGACGATGGCATCTTCCTGGCTAACTGTTTCGCTTCCTTATGTGTATCTTTGAGAGCACAGTTGAACACAATTTAGACGTTAAATTGTTCAGTGATGTGCGCATGTCGTAAAGCTCTCGCCTCACCAGGAAACTTCTCAGAAGGTAGAAACTCTTGCGTAATCGGTGGGTCAATTTGACACTGCGCCATAGACTGCGCGTCGAGGACCTGCATTAGAACACTAAGGCGTGGACGCGCGAGGCCAGAAACACGCGAGCTACTGCTATTCCTCTTCGTTGTCCTCTTCGTCTGAACAGGGTTGTGGACCCGACAGGGTTGTGGATATCGACGCCCGAACTGCCCGGTGTTCGGGTTCGAAGAGTTGACCCGCGAAAAGCGCGCATCACAAAGCTCTCGCCACGAAACCAAATAACTATCTTAATTTTTTAAAGCAGATTAAACTAAAACCTCTTTATCTGTTTCTCTTGCAAGTATACCATCAAATGCGCCAATCCACGAGGCCCGTGCCCTGTACGGTTCTCGGAGTCAAATGACCTTTTCAGAAATATGTGGTGGCGCCATAGAGTAATAGATTAAACGTAAAAAAAGGACACTCAAGGCCCGTTCACACTGTGCCATTTCTTATGTTATGTTACGGCCACTTACGATCTGCGCGTTCACAACCTGCCGTCTTTAATGCCCTTGTTACTCGGGCACACTAAGCGCACAATACTTGCCGACAACATTCTGCGGCTATGCAGTCAAAGCTGTGGCCGAACGTGCGCTTGAACATCTTGAGCACCCATCAAAGCAGTGCACGCGCGCTCTTCACTACTGAAATAGCTGTCCGAGAGTGCGGTAACTGTGGTGCCGAGTAACAGCAAAGTTAACCGCGGTTAAGGGTTTTATTTTATTTTAAATATACAAATATATAAAATTAAAGTAAAACGACGGTTTTATGTTATTGTAAGCGTAGTATTTCTTATTGTTTCTTTTTTATTATTTTTCGTCTTCATCATATTTTACAGTTAAATTCTCGCCGTATAGACGCTTTACACACGCGCCAAATTACAGCCGCCATGGCTGACCTTCTCTTGTCTTACCAAGATGCCGAGCAACTGAAACGGTCGTTAACGATCCTCTACAAAAGCCGATGCTTTAGAAAAGGACACAGTTGAATCTAATGTGGCAATAACCTGGCCTGCCATGGTAATGATGAAGTGAAATAAACGAAATAAGAGGAAACAAAATCTGAAGGTCAGTTATGGCGGTGTCCATGCACAGCTGCTGCAAAGCGTCTATATGTTTTCTCTAATGCTTCTTTTCTCAGTGAGACGATGATGATTAGAGAAAAAAGAAATGCAAACCTGAGTCGCTAGTCATAGCTGTGTGCGTGTGTTTTTTGTGTGCCCGTCTTCTGTGTGGAAATCTCGTGCGCCGTCGCCGGCGTCGACCGTTGTCGGCGTCGACGGAACCTTTGGGTCGTTCGTCATTCTGGAGAGCAGCGCCGGGCCGCCAGGCTCCCGAGCGTTTCAGTTGCTCGGCATCTCGGTAAGACAAGAGAAGGCCAGCAATGGCAGCTGTAATTTGGTGCGTGTGTAAAGCGTCTATACCCTATTTCACCTAGGGTGCCTCAATGACCTTCTGTTACGAGTGATGCCACTCTTTGTAGTACCCGATGCCGACAGCACGCGCTCACGGGGAAAATACAAAGAAATCGACGAAAACAAAATGTCGCCGTAGCACAGTCAGCGCCACAGACGCGTGCAGGGACACGCTCTTTCACGCGCTTCTGAACAAAAAATACATGTAAAAGTGGGAACAAAATGGCCGGATGTCTCCACCCTAAGCAAAGCGCACATGAAGGCACCCTAATTTCACCTTATGATGTACCGCCAAAAAGGCTACAAGCGCGAGCTCGTTGCTCTAGGGCACGTCTCGGCGGCACAAGCTCTCGTGCATTAAGGGCAGCTGCCAACGCTACGAGCTCGCGGTTCTAGCCTTCGCTGCGGTACAACATGAGATGAAACGGAGTATAATATACGCGATTCAAGTGCCGCTCAGCTGGTGCGCTGGCTCTAGCAGTGCTTTCGTTTACCATTGTTACGTACCGAGTGAGACTAACACATCGTAGGCTTAAGCTTGAGAGAGGCCTCTCTGGCTCGTGGAGGCTCGGTGCCCGAATGCTGCTTGCTTGGCACGCGGAACCCTGGCCCGATCTCATGCGTCACGTGATTGTGTCACGTGACGTTATGTCACGTGACATAAATTATCCGCTGGGTAAACTGAGGTCGTGAATACAATTTTCCCCTTGAATTTAGCAGGGAAATTTAATTGGTGTATACGTCACGTGCCCTCAAATCACGCGGCACAATTTTATCGCTAACTTAAGCCGGGAAACTGAATTGGTGTGTAGGTCACATTGCTTAAGGTCACGTGACATCAAATGACGTCACGCGACCTAAACACCGACTGCTTCCCCTCTAAATATAGCGGGAAGTGCACGGACAAACGAATGGACGAATATTTGGGATTGGAGCGTTCCGTTAAAAAGCATGTCATGCTTTAACAAGTAATCGATTGCTCGTAATTTGATTACTTGTAACGAGTACAGTCTGCTACTGCGTGATGCGTGTTAAAGACGCCAAGCTATTGGAGGTATTGCACTGGTTAAATTTCGCTTCTAGAGGGTAAACCAGTGTCGCCATGCCTCAAAGGCAGACCGACCTTACGATGTAAAAACACGCTTTCTAGGCTCTTTTTTGCAGCATGGCGCGCGAAAATGAAACCTGTAGCGCATACAGTGGTGGCAATCTCAGAAACAGCGGGGAAAGTTATGTAGCTCGTCAGAACACGTTTTCCTCCAGGTGTTTTCTTGGTTTTCTATTGGCTCTTCGGATGAAGGATGAAAATTGGTATCTTGGAATGCTCGTTTGATGCGATCCATTGCGGTGGTTTCTGCCGCCCTTGAAATTCGAGAGTCATCGACTTCTCGGTGTGCACTTTAAAAGATGCACAGAAGCAATCGCAATAGACCGCCTTTAGTGATCGCCGTGACGTCTTCGACACAAAAAAAACAAAACAAAAAAACAAGTACTGTTTTTTTATGGTGCAGACTCTTATACAATGAACCTTGTACCTGACTAAAGTTCGCGTAGCAGCGTGTACGAGAACTACGAAATCTAACGCCAATAGGGACTTTTAGAATACCGTTACCGTGTCCCGCGTACCGCACTACCAAAGCCTTTGAAGCATGCCCGATTGATGACACAGTGACCGCGGACGCGCGCATAAGAAAACATGCTTCAAAGGCTCCGGTATAGCGGTACGCAGAAGACAGCAACGGTTTGCTGAAAGTCCCTTATAAGTCGTCTGCCTCGGTCTCTCCGGGGACGCTTTCCGCCACTTTTCCTAATCGTGTGCACGCGAGTGAGTCTTCGTTAACCCCGTTTTTGGTGTTGGTAAAACGCAGAAGCAAGCAGATAGCTCCCTCAACGACGGACGGACGGAGTCCAATAAGTACCATTAGTGCCACTAAATAAGCTACGCTTCAGAGTAACGACACTTGGCCATATTGTGTCTTAAAATCAAGGTTGCCAGTTATCTGAAGCTTTATCTGAAATCACAGGAAATGCTTTTCCGCCCTCCACAAATGTTTAAACCGTTCGCGACAGAGCAAAGCAATATTACATGACCTTCCTAACACCGAATCTAATGCTGAGGAAGTCGCACTTTTGAATCATGACGATCGGCAATTGCGTCTGTCCTGCATACGAGCCAAAATGGCAGCGCCCACAACAATGTCGGGGAACGGAGTGCCGATACTCTAAGCGCAGCTTATTTAGTGGCTCTAAGTACCATCATGGAACGATGAAATATTTTGGCTGATGGCTGCCCGAACGAAATGGGTGAAGGTTGTGTGCAAAAATGGCATGTAAAGCACTTGTGAAACGATTTATTCGGCTGCATTTGATGCGTCTGTTTGTCCCTTTTTTGTCGTTCTTTCGCCTTTGGTGTATAAACTAACCTAAACCAACTCACCTGATTGTTAACTTTGTTTTCGGCCATTTGTAGAACTGCTCTTCACCTAACTTGTGGTGGTACTTGGCGATTTGCATAAGTGGTGAACCCTACTACGGTGACCGACAACTGCACAAACGCAGGGCGTGGCTAACCATGTTCACGCTTCCTGTTCTTTGATTGGCCCCTTGGCGTCCTTAGCGGCTTATGTCGCTATCTGATTGGCTACGGAGTGGTAATGAGATGCACGAGACCCGTGACGCCACGTTTCTTAAGATCTCTGTTACTATATTGTAAATCGCCAAGCTTGCTCGGGTTTGTTTATCGCATGCTAGGTTAACACGCTAACTAATTCTGAAGCCATGTGAGGCTGTCTTTACTTACCCGCGTGCACAGCCGGCAGTGAAAAACTCTGACTTCAAGAAACGAAAATAAAATAACAGCCGATAGCGAGGCGGGTATATCCACATGTCGGGTAGACTATAAATTGATAAAATTGTCGGGCATTTACATTTTATTATGATGAGTCACGCATTAGATACTTAACCAAAACATACAATCCATACAAGCATTTTTTTTAAGGAAAAGGGGGGGGGGGGGAGCGGGAGGGGGGGGGGGGTACGCGTATTGGCTGTCTGTGGCGATATATTGTTTAACTAACTTTACAACTTTACAGAACAGCGAACGACTTGTTCGGGTGCCCTTAGGCTTAGAAGTCGACAAATATATATTTGGCTATCGTCATGTAAATATTGACCCGGGCGTTATCTTCCACCAATTAAACATAATGGGCCCCGCTGCGTTGACGGTGGCCAAGGTGGCGACAACGAGGAGTATCTTCACCAGGAGGCCCAAGTAGAACTGCAGAAAGAAAAGTGCCAACGTTGTTGAACAGAAACGTTTGAGGAGATCATACCCAAAACGAAAGTTACTGCTACAGTATACTGTGTCAGGAACGTGTCTTCGACCGGTGTCCATCGACTTTCATCAACAAATCTTTGACTTCCATCAACAAGTAATCTGTGGCAAACTAGATGATGATATCTTCAGGAGCTAGTTAACAAGCAGCGTTAACTATAGTTACGTTAGCTGTGAGGCGCTGTGCACGTAACGTCGACGTGGAGGCTCTAAAACGACTTAATAAAATAAAGCACCTCATGTTTTTATTTTTTTTTCTTTATTCACAGTTTTGGATAGCACTGGAACGTGTTGTTTGGTGGGGGCTGAGCTTATGTTCTGCATTTACGGATTCAGATGATATCTGTCAAATCGATACGATTCGACAGATATCTTATCGTACGTCGATACCCTAACGTTTTTCGCTGGTTCTGCTTCAGTTCAGCCGATCAAGACCTGCCAGTACGAACAACGCGAAAGTGCTTATTTTGATCGGTAGTTTTCTGAAAACCGCTTACCTTCACAATTTTGCTCGCCCTCATCCTTTTCTACGAGTTATGGTTATTAGTATTGACAGGCGATAAAGGAAAGCACAACCTTCAATCGTGACAGAATGAGATATAGCTTGTTTCAAAAAGGTCTTGTCAAAATTATATTTGTTGTGAAACAAACTTCAAACGACGTGCATGCCTACAACGTTCGAATCCCTCCAAAAGAACGGTACTATCACAGACAGAATGAGATCGAAAGAAAGGCCCTTTGGTTCTCCCAGCTCCAGCGCGATAACACTTGGTTGTCTCGTGAGCGTGCCACCGCTCCCGATGTACAACGCAAGGTATCGGAGGTCGGGCATCCTGCCCTTCTCATCTTGTCAGTGACGACAGTACAAAGGAGGTACAAAAAAGGTAGACCGAAACCCGACTTCCTCGGCAATGTACCTGTCGCGCGGAACTCACCAGCTGCAGACATGGGATCCTGGTGAGCTCGTGCAGGACGACCATCGTGACAGACACGGGCATGACGGCGTTGCTGGAGGCTGCCACGACGACCGGGATCCCGTAGTACATCGGGGGCGCGTCAGTCGCCGTCGCCTGACAAAAAGAAGAACGAGGGAGGTCCCCGACGATTGTCTCATCCTCGCGTGTGCGTGAATAATGGCAGCGTCCAGAGTATTGTGAATGGCGAAGGTACGCACAGGAGCAGCAGCGTAGCTCTGTCAATACCTTCCTGGTAGAAAGCCGCGGTGCCGAATCTTTATACGCCACCTGCTGAGGGCCAGCGTTCGGCTGAAACCATGCGGAGGGCAAGCTCGTCTGCTTCTTGCGCAGGGGGTATCGGTGACGTCAGAACGTCGAGCCCTGATTGGCTGATCGCGATCGCGATGACGACCATAGCTGTGTGCGCGAATGCTGAGCGCGTGCTGACGGCGAGCTTCCACAGTTCTTTTGCAACGTACATTCCGCACCATCAAGACTGCCTGTCTTAGCGACCTATTAATGTGAGCTTGTTCTGAGCATGCACTCTAAACAGCACCCACAAATATAGCGTCCAGGGGAGTATTCACTGAACGTCATAGATGTCTGCGCGAATGCTGAGCGCGTGCTAAAGGCGAGCATCCACAATTCTTTTGCAACGTGCATTCCGCACCATCAAGAGTGCCGGTCTTAACAGCCTATTGATGTGGGCTCGTTCTAAGCATGCGCTCTAAACAGCACTCACAAATATGGTGTCCAATGAATACTCCCTATAGCCACTGTACTATAGCAATCGTCCTATTGCAAGCTTGCCAGGTACATTTTTCCGCACTGACACCAGTCGCGACGTCTCTTTCTGACCTTTTTAAAAGTAGCAAGAGTGTGCGTGTATACTTTTGACAAGCGCTGAAGGTACGCGAGGGCGAAGATTCCGAAAGCTCCTAATGTGACGTCACGCCCCAGAAACGAGGGGCTTCAGCGGCACATTAAAATTGAAATTATGCAGCCTCCGTGCACCAAATTGAAAAATAATTTCGATATTCGTGATCTTGAAGGCCGAATAAAGACGATTTAGGTGTTTTTCCCCCTCAAGAACAGAAACGCTTCCATTTCCCTTTGAAGTGAGGCTGCAGCCAACGCCACAAGCACAAGAGCTCGAGGTCGCTGCTTTGTGAAGCGTCTTCCGCAGAACGAGAACTTCCGCTAGAAATGCACGTCTCAAATCCAGGAGCGCAGGCTAGCTCGCGCTTGGAGCTTTGGCTGCAGTCTCAGCTTAAAGGGATACTTCAACGAAATTCGAAATATACCCGTCGTGTTCACAAATAGGCTGAATATGATCCACAACATTCATAAATGACAATCGTACGTTTGTATTTTGAGCCTGATGGCTGTAGTTTTCAACGGCCCATTCTGGCAAACGGTCGTAGAGCAGCCAGCGGAGAGCACGTCACATCCGCAGCAATCGTGGCGTAGTTTGTCTCGGGACCTTACGTCCGGACGCAGCGGACGCCCTCCGAGCTATTCCAGCCAATCCCGCTCTGTGGACGTAGCCCGTGATACGCTTTCCGCGCGTCGCTGTTCCCCCTCTCCAGGGTCACGTGACATTTACACGGGCTTGGATAGGCCCTGAAGCTCGTAGCATCCGCTGAAAATCGCCGAAGCCCACCAGCGATCGCTCCACCGCAAGTAACCCCAAAGTTGTCTTTGTACGAATTTTGAGTGAAGGGTTAATCCTCTATAATCCTGTAGAGAGACAATAGCGACTTCTAGGACACGCAAAAGAAAGAGTCTCGGGGCGAGGGAAGTTTTTTCTTCACCTCTTCTCTCGTCGTGGCTTTAGTCATGGCCGGAGGTGAGACACTTACCGTCACTACCTGTCAAGATTCCTACAGGGGCATTACAAACGAGGCGTTCGCGACATCCACCAGGTGCTCTTTGCTAATCGTTTAATTCGATTGAAAATTTCTTTTCGTGTCTTTTTCAACAAGAGATTGGTGTGCCTGATGTGATAATACTCCATCGAACACGAATAGACCAAGAAATAAGCGCCGCGGCACTTCTTGCAAAGTTTCTAACAAATATTTTTGCTGCCCTACAATTACAGAATCGCCAGCATGAATGTCTTCCGCCTCCTTTTTTGTTTCAATGATCAGTACTTGCAAAGTTATGGTGTCAGGCACTTTATAAATAAAAGGATTATCTAGAGAAATAAGTAAACTCGCAAGATTAGTATGAGAAATAAATAAATAAAAGAAGCTTACTTAGACAAATAAACGAACACCGGGACCGCTCACAACCTACTGCAACTTTCAGAACGGCTTTCCGACAAATTACCATGACACTCTGCTTCCTGGGAAGCTCTGTTTGAGCAGAGGTCAAACGCAGCGACCATCACATGCTGCTGCACAGTACTTACGATGTGAGTAACGATGGGCATCATGAGTCGGCTAAGTGTCCTGTTGTCGACGGCCTCCGCCAGTACGGACGATATCGCGGTAAGGATGATCTGCACTTGGATCGGTGATCTTGTCTCCCAAAAAGACGAGTCGAGCAGCTTGAACAGCGCCTTCAATAGGTCGTACCGCTAAAGCAAAACAAACGAGTATAAAAAAAAAATTAAAAGAAACATTTTAGCATGTGTAATGGCAAAAACCTGCAACTATAGAGAATGACATGCAATGTAGTGAATTGTCTAGTGTCGATAAAATGAAGAAGTTGAGAATTCTTCAGTGCTCAAACGCTGATTCTATGTTAGGCGCGACAATTTTGTTTGTGCAGTTTGTTTTACGGGGGAGTGTTCATTCGGTTAAACCTCCTGGGCTGTATTTTTTTTTTTTTTTCATTTAGTGAGGCTCAAAAGATGCTACCTTCAAATTAAAGTTTGAAATCTCTTCACTCCCGGAAGCACATCACTTTTACGTAGTATCCACCAGCGGCGATGCACTTCCGCCACCGGTACATTAAGGACCCTACACACAGTTGCGTTTAAGAGCGTTTGAGTGCGTTTGACTGCGTTGCGGCTGCGAGAAACCAGGACATCCCCGCTGCTTATATCGCGTGCCAAGATGATTCCTTGTGCTGGATTCCTTGTTTTATACGAAGCACAGATGTGCCGGTGACTCGCTTTTGTTTCTCGACGCAACGTAGTCAAACCCACTCAAACGCTCTCAAACGCTCTCAAACGCAACAGTGCGCAAGGACCTTGAGTCTCTGCATGCCGTTGCAGAGGAATGAGGGCGACTGTTGACGAGACCGATTGGAGGAGCTGCAGTTCCAAGATGTTTTACCTCACCCACCTTACACCCCTGACCTCCCGCCATCAGACTTCTGGCTGTTTTCTAAGATGAAGAAACATCTGAAGGGTACGCGGTCCGCGTACGACGAATATGTCACCGATGCAGTGGACCGTTGGTGTCGTCAACACCACTCTCACTCTTCTATTCGACGACATGTAGAGACTAGTGCATTGGTTGCGGAAGTGTGTTACCCTTGATGGGGACTATATCGAAAATTAAAGGGGCTAGGACACAACAATTAAACGGATAGATTATTCCTGAAATGGAATGTCCATAGGCTACTTAAAATGTACACGAACTTTCGCGATTGTTAGAGCTCTAGCAATTGCAATAATCAATTTACAAATTTTGATCATTTTCATCTGCCGACCAGGCGACACTGCCCAAGTTATTCACACCCCTGTCTCTCAGTGGGTCTGGGTTTGGAAAGAACTCCAACAAAGGTTGACCAGAAGAAAATTGGCGACTCTGTCGCCGGGGGGAGAAAGAGCGTGTGTGTGTGGGGGGAGGGGTGCGTGTGTTTGTGTGTGTGTGTGCGTAGGGGAGGGTCTTTTTTATTTTGTATTTGCCGGATCCCCCAAAGGCCAGCCTGTAGTTCTTTTCCACAACCCGGTGACAGTTGCAGGGATGTAGAGGAAAGGAACTTGGGTGTTTAAGGTGCAACCCTACCCTTGGTTAGTGTGATTCTGAACCAATAGATGGCGGTGGGATCGCCTTCCAGGCCTGTACATCAATGCGAGAAATCGTGCGTAGTGGCGCTTCGATACAGTGGGCTATTTTTCTATGTCCCAATTTTGACATCCCTGGTCCCTCGCTTGTTCTTCTCTGCACGAGCTTTTTTGGAACGCGCACGGCTGCGCCAGTTCTCGTGCAAGGGGGCCAGTTGCCTACGCTCCGAGCTCACGTCTCCAGCAAATCTGGGCAGAACAAAATGCAAAAATTTTCCTTAGCCAAATGGCGAGACACATGCATAACAAAACCACCAACGTGTTGAAAAATATAAAATTGCCCGCGCGCCGTTATCGGAGATTTCAGAGGCCAATTACACATATTTCAATGTGATCAGATTTATATTGTCACGAATGAAGATGACGAGAGGACGAACAGTGAACTGAAAAATAAAAATAAAATAAACAAAAAAAGTATAGAAAGAGCGTCGAGGCAGCAGAAACCAGGCGGCGATTCGGCAGCGTAAGAGAGAGCGAGAGCGAGACTGACTCGACAATGTCGCGGGCAGCTCCTTATCTACAGTGCGTCACTATCTCGGAAGTTCGGCAAAGAAGGTTCGAGTGTCACATGCTCGGGGCGAGGATGAACTGGCACTTTCAAGAACAAGAAAGCAGGACGAAAGTTAAGTCTGGTGCAGGAATGAACGCGAATCTTCTAGAAGTTCGTGACCGATCGTTGCTTTCCCAACTCTGCGGGCGGCAATAAGGCGGGCCGCCCTTTTGTCGTGCTTGTGTTTGGCTCTTTGTGGGTTTCCAGGAAAACGTGATGACGTGATAGACATGGGTTTCCAAAATTCTAGTTTGAGGAATTAACTACCTAAAATATCAAAACAAATGAACTATCGGTCAGGTGTCTCATTTAGGTATACCTGGGTGTTTAGTTTGACCAAAACCACCGAGGCTGGAAAACACAAAAATTGACACTCAGGTTTCGATGTTGAGTTTGGTAAACCCAAAGTAGAACCGGTGCGGGAGTCATAATAAAAAAAATTCCGAGGTTAATACTTCATTCATAGCAATAAATTATAAGAATTAATTTTAATACGAATCCAGTGATAAATGCAGGACTGGCCAGGCAAAGATTCTGGGTCTGTGGATAGCGTTTGCACAGAGTTTAAGCAATGTACAGTGAGTTACAAAACAAATTACAGAATTTTTTTTTTTTACCGCAAGAATAAATTAGGCATCGCCGGATGCTCATTCTCCGCCCAAAGGTAGCGCTAGAGGCCACAACCAGATGTCAAAGCTTGAGCACGATCCGATACCTTATTAAAAACAAAAGTGATTTTCTGAAAAGGTCAATGGGAAAATGGCGGCCGACGTAGTTTTCGAATACATGAGGCTCTATGGCACCAGAAACCGAAAACGTGCAAAAACGGGCTCCATTTTCCCATTGAGAATTTTCAGAAAATCACTTATAACTTTTGAATAAGGTGTCCATTCGGAATAAAACTTTGGCATCTTGTTGTGACGTAGCACTACCTTTGGGCGGAGAATGAACGTTAGGCAATGCGTAGTTTATTTTGCGGTAAAAAAAAAAACTGTAAATGTTTTTTGTGAATCCTGCACCAGTCCTAATTTGGTGATTTGTGCGCGCAAGTAGTGATGTGCATAAATGAAAAAGATGCAAACGGGTAGAGTTTGACGTTGCATAAAATGCAGTGTAAGCACGCACATGATACGCTGATTAAGACTGAAACAGCGCTACATTTTACACTAGCGTTGAGCGTATCGAAAGTTAAGCGTGCATCAAAAGCTAAAGCTTCCACGGATATACTGCTCAGGCAGTAATGTTTGAATGTTTATAGTACTTTATTACCCTAAGATTTGGTGTAAATTGTCTCCTGTTTGCTTACAACAGAAAGAAGTAAACGTTCTAACTCTGGGTTGATAGAAAAACTCCACCCGCTGACAGCTACCAATCATCTCGGCGCGAATTTATGAATATTCACTGCATGCTAACGGTCGTGTGCTTAGAACGAGTTTTTCCCACGTGATTTCATACAATCGCAATTGTTTTTGACAAACAACAACGTTAACTCAGGCCAGCGGTCACATGTGAAGCTTATAGAATATTTTGTATTGATCGTGGAACACATGTCTAGTTGCATAGGTTTTTCTTACAATCCGCGAAATAGAATGCTCCTGGGTTACCTTGGTATCTAAGGCATGTATCACACAAAAAAGCACGAAATGAATCGCAGTGGGAAACGAAAACAATAATGATAAACAAGCGTCTGTGTAATCACGCGAAAACTGAGGGCATTGCACATATGCAGAAGGTAGCTTTGTTTCACTAAATACATTACCAGTAGAGTATTTGATTTTATCGTGCGAGCGAAGCGGAACATACAAGTGCGAGCATATTACCCTGAACTACACTTCCAGTGAACAAGCGCACCATCCAATGCATCGAGCTTGCTTTCATAGCCTTTGGTGCGCTCAAACCTTTGAAAACACAATTATAATCAATTCTATTATTTCAATTATTTTTATTAAGTGCGCCTATATGTAGTTTTTTTTTTCTTTCGCGTTCACGTGCCATTTTCTTAGTTATATAATATTTTCCAGAAGTCCGACAACTACAGTCTGTTTCATAAGCAAGAACCGCATAATCAAAGATATGGAAAAAAAAAAAGAACGCGAACACGCGAACACACATTAAAGTGCAATGTAACGGAGCATTCAGAATTAGTTTTTAGTTTTTTAGAGAGCAGGAGTTTCGTAGGCCGACATTGTTACCCGTTGAAGATTATAAAAAGTGCTGTACAACTGTTAGTTCCGTGTCTTTAACGTGCATTAACGCAGTATATGTGGTACACGATCGCACGACGGTAGGATTCAGATAGGCGACTGAACCCAGGGTCCCTGCTAAAGCCCCTTGATAAAAGCGTTTTTATACAAGTACCGCCAACCATTGTTGTGGAAACGCGCAAGGCACGTACCACCGAGTGGGTGCTCCACCGCCAATCTCTTTCAGGGGCCAGTCATTTTAGTGCTGCGCCGCCATTTGCCTCCAAGGGCTGCTTGAGAGACGGGCCTCGTGTACTGGCACCATTTGAGGTTACATGAAAGACCAGCGCAAACGGCATCGAGGGGATTTAGCCCCTACAGGTTCTGTAGCGTGAGCTCCGTGCCCTGAACGGAGCTCGCGCTCGAGCATTTCTCCACGTGCTCTGGTCTGCGGTGCCACAACACACTCGGTTAAAGGAGCGGTGCAACGATATTCAATTGGAATATTTTTCACTTGACACGAGCTTACTGGCACACCTGGGACTCAAGGATATTCGCACGCAACGCCACTGGCCAAGAAACTTCTTTGTTGCGGTGTAATTTCAAGGACAAAAGCGATCATTTTCATTCAATCTCTCCTTTGCAAAATTTGATGACGTAACGTGGGGATCGCAGTACACCCAAGTGACGATATATGAATGCGGTTCGTAGATTGGACCCGAGCATTGCGTGGGCACTCGACTTGGGCTCGTGATAATTGCTAGCTCGAGAAGCATTCGGGTAGTGACCCGTGTCCAATCGCTGCAACGACGACAACAGGCGAGCCATAACAATGTCTGGAACACAGCGCGTGTCCTGCGCTCTGCCAACCCCAGCGCGTGGCTATGATCAACACTGGCGGCATATAATCGGCTCCAGATCACGTGGCCGCTTGTTCTGGCTGCGAGTTGAGAGGGTGAACGGTGCTCGTTTTTCTTTAATTTTTTTCTGGGACTTCTATTGCGTGGGGTGAAAAACGAACGCGTGTTTCATAGGTCATTAACGTTAGGGATCCGTTTTAAGCGGTATTTGCGCAAAGTACAAAAATTGCTGCATCGCTCCTTTAACGATCCCCCACCGCACTTGGTTTAGCTAACGCCCCTTCATGTTTCAAAAGTAGCGCAAGCTTCGTCGATGCACGAGGCACGTGCAACGTGCAGCTCTTGGGAAGATCGTGGCGGCACAGCGCAGCACAGAGCTAGATTTCAGACGCCATGAATTTACCAGAAGTGGCGCGCGGCACGTGCCTCGAGCATTTCTAAAACAATAAATGGCGCCACTTTTCCCAGGAAGGGGGGCTTTAGGTTTAGCATGTGAGGTAAACCAAATGAGCTACGCTTAGAGTATCGGCACTTTTCTCCCCCGATATTGTTGTGGGCGCCACCATCTTGTTGGTTAGTAACAAATAAACGCAACTGCCGATCGTCATGATTCAAAAGTGCGACTTCCTCAGCATTCGGTGTCAGGTAGCTCACGTAATATTGCTTTGCTTTTTCTCGAACTGTTTAAACATTTGTGGAGGACGTAAAACCGTTTCCTGTGATTTCAGATAAAGCTTCAGATAACCGAAAACCATTATTTTAACAACCAAGATGTGTATAAAGCGTAGCTTATTTAGTGGCTCTAGTTTAGCCCGACCGCCTAGGCACAGAAAGAGAACGAACAGCTTAACCTCGCTCTCTTGGCGATGCTTCAGTGGCTTCATCAGCCCGTAGCGTTGGCTGCGCTCCGAACTAAGGTAAAGGAAATCAAATTTTCAGATCTTAGTTTCTCACAAGCCAAACCAACAAAAATCACTTAACACGCCCTAATAAAAAAAATGCTTGTTTATTTTGACTAACTGGAGATCTTTTGATGTGCAACCGAAATCTCAGATTGGCCTCCGTCGGATTGCGGGCACCTCGGCCGATATTTAAATCCGACAAATATGAATTCATGGGCCAGCACGTTGGCTCAGAGACACCGAGACGATTTAATGTTCTGTGTTTTGTTTTAATATCATTGCTACTTAAGAGCCACCGAGGTGGTTTTTGAAACATAATATAGCCGAACCATTCCGACAAGCATAGTTTGATTGCGAAAATGATTTTTGCAAGTGATAGAAACATTAAAATGTTTTCGCATGCGTGGCGGAATTTGAGATGGCAGAATACATTTCATGGCGCCCATTTCATTTGGATCGCGTCGGGCATGTGAACCGACGCACAGTAGAACGCGCGCAAAAGTAGCTGTGGTGCACCCGCAGCCTCGCGCTTGTTGTTCTGACATTTCTGGCTCGCGCACTGCGAGCATCCAGGCATCTGACACCCTGACATCTGGCGCTTTTTCTGTCTTTAACGTGGCGTTCCAAGCGGCACACGACGGAAAATGCACATCAAGCTCTTCTTGAACACGTGTCGCCATCTGTATTTTATGATTAGAAACTACAATTTTCCGTAACTGAATGGGAAAAGTTTGAGGTCTTATAACATTATTAACGCGTAATATATCAATATGAAAGTTCTGGAAATTGTAATATCGAAGGATGCTTCATAATTTAATGTCTCGTTATTTTGATTAGTTGACGTGACTCCGTTTTTATAGCGCCATAAAATAATACCATTTTAGACTTTATTTTTTTATTTTAAAATATACATTATCTGTACTTTTCGTTGCTTACTTTTTTACTTTATTACATCCATCCGAACGCTCACGTAAAATATCGTGGACGATGGGACGTTATAACTCGAGAAATAAAATTTTCAATATTAAAGACTGTGGTCTACTAAAAGCTAAATAAATTACTAACCACTGAAAATAATCGTAATATCGAGACATTAAAGTATCGTTGAAAAACAGTTCTTTAATTTGACATTCACTTTATAAATGTAAGACACATAGAAAGAAAGTTATAAGCCGTCAAAAAAACATGAAAGCGTCATGCACGGTGGGGTTGCACCTTAAGTGGGGGAGGAAAGCATTTTCTTACGCTAGGTGACGCAAGCTGCCGCCTCTTACAAATGGCATAGCCAATAATATTCATCCATCCAACCATAGTGACATGGCATAAACCACGCGATCATGAACGGTCTCTCGTTCTAGGTTTCCCCATGATTGCCCAAGCTCGCCTCGCCGCGGAACGATCAAAACCTCTCCCTCAACTCGGCAAACCCAACGCTATTCTCGCTCTTGCCCCAAGCCCATTGACCTTCCACCCCGCATGTGCCTGCAAGGTTATCCCGGACGACGGCGACCAGGGCGAGTTCGTACGTGACTCGCCGTCGTTGGAGGTGGTCGCCAGCGGGTCGCAGTCAAAATGAACGACCTTCAACATTTCTTGTTAGAAATCACTCATCGCTGCTGCGATCACTGCGAAAGACTTCGACGAAGCGAGCGATGCCGTAGACGTAACCGTCACGGACCGCATGCTTGAAACGCAAAAGGTACACGAGGAAGCTGAAGCTCGAGACGGCAAGAGAGCCAAGTCTGTGAGTGCGTGCGAGGCGACGCCGCGCGCTTGGCTGGTGACGTCACCAGCCCTCCAGACACGACGGCCTTTTCGAACGGTTGCGAATTCGAGGGTCCGGATATAAATAGATCTATTCACAAAACTATCGTGCTGTTTCCAAACAAATTTAGCAGGATTATAGGAATATATAAAATGGTTCCTATAGTAGTATAGTTACCTAATTTTTTTTTTTTTTTTGGCGTGTCCGGATTCCGTTAAAAACCTCCCGGGAAAAAGAAGATTCCAAACTTTCGTTCTTATGTAACATATTTCGATTCCATTACTAAATACAAAAGTTACAAATCAGGAAGCAAAACTTAGTGAATATCCTTTGCACAATCGAACATACACCCAACAATTTTTAAACTAGCTTTACCACCAGGAGGAAATAATAACACGAATTGTTCCCGAGAGGAAAGCGCGTAAGAGAGCTGGTTTCATGCACGAGATACCCTGAAAATGTACGTTCCTGTTGATCATTTCAATTGACAGCAGCGGGCGCAACGAGTCATGCCAGCCAATCCGGCACTGCGAACGTATCACGTGATTATGCTCCCCGCGCGTCACTGCTCCCCTTCCGAAGGTCACGCGCGGCACATCAAAGAGCATTAGATTAGCTCCAATGGCTTGTAACAGGAATTTTTTTTTTTTGTAGATAGTTTCCGTTGCCCCGCAACGCTCTCTGCAACCTGCTACGATATCCAGAACTCTGTGGACAAGGCTAGCGGCACGCATGCGCAGGAGCGTCTTCGCTGCCGAGGGCGTTGTACGGGACGGCGGAAACCAATCTACGAAAACTTCTTAGTGCCGTCCGCGGTCCATCTAAAGGGGAAACGGGGTATACCATCAGAGACAAAGTACTGCGGAAGTAAACGATAGCGCATGAACTGGTGGGGGACAGTCGGGCTCACCTCGACAACCTTGGACGTAACCTGCACAGCGCCAAAGGTGATCACAATCCCCCATGGAAGTCGGCTCCATATTTGTGCCGCCGCAAGGTGGGAGACTCCGGATAGATGGCTCGCTACTGTTCCCAGGACGACACCGATGGTGAGCCCCGTCAGAAGTGCTTCCCTGGAAGTTATGAGATCTGCTAATGCGACCACTATGTTATCACCATTATCATCGTGATTTGCTTTTTATTTTGTGCCTATGAGCAGGTAATTACCTGGATAATGATGCGCAGAAAAAAAACAAAAAAACAGAACACATTTTTAGATGTCGATGCACACTGCAATGATGCCATATTACAATGTCTTATTCGGGTCATGAAGCTAGTTAAGATTGTGTAAGCAACAAAGAAAGCAAAAATTGTGATTTGCAGAAGATAACCTGAATCGCCGATTCTGCTCGAAAGCGGCCAACTTACTTACGTATATATAGAGCATTAACTTTGAGCAATATTTACTTAAACCGACCCGCCACCTTCCTCAACTTTTCTGAAGACGAAAACTTCTGCGCTCAAAGGTAGGAGCCTGACAAACCTCCCTGCAACATTTTTGGTTTAAAACTGTAAACTTTAGAGGACAGAAAGATTAAAAACACTAGTGAATTTTAGGAGTTCCTCCTTTTTTTCTTGTGAACTACCGCACTTTTTGAAACATGTGTCCTCAGATACGTTACTACAATACACCCGAGAACGCTTACTTGATTCGTAATCCTTCTATGACGAACCGTCCGTACAGTGCGATGAAGAAGATCGTGTAACAGATGAACAAAGAGCTGAGCATTCTGCAACGAAATGTAAGTACCAGCGGGCTGTTTTCTATCGCATCACTAAGGCGATTCGAAAGTAACGGAACATTTACACACTAAATACACGTAGGTCAGTACAAAAAAAATGGTTGAACTGGACCTTTTTATTGTTATTATTCACGAGAAATAGAGTACATGCACTATTTTGTAATAGTTCTAGCTTGGATTGCTTACTGCCAAAGACAAAACGCCGAACCCAAATATATATAAAATTTTAACGAAAAACATTGCATGGCCAAATTTATACTAAAGAGCTGCTTTCTAGGGTCAGTATTTCTTTTCAAATGTTCACATACAATAAAGGTGATTCAAAACAAAGAAACACTAGCCTCAATATCGCTCGTGGTAACCAAAAAGAGCAAAAAAAAAAAAAGCGGAACCGTAGGTAGGTGTAATAACGCGATTATACTCGTATACGACAGCATTTCCGCACGAAGTCATCAAAGTGGTAAAAATATCACATCTAATTAAACGAGACCGGCAGCCCGAACAGAAAAAATGATCGGTATTGGTTCAGAAAAGGGTTAAATTTCGTTCCTATTTCTTTTTTTTTTTCGAGCGCAGCTCTTAGGCGCCTGTTTCTGGCTTGAGCGGTGTCGCCGTCGCCGTCGGCGTAACCGCGCGTTGTATTATGGGACGTTTTCCATAATGACGTCACTCGTGACCCTTGTGACGTCACAAAGGTAACTCGTGAAGGTCACGACCTTCACAGTGAAGGTCACCTGAAGGTCACGGCCTTCACGAGTGGCGTCACGAGGGAGGAGGGAGGGAGGGGGAGGAAGGAGGGAGGATATTGAGAGGAGGTGGAGGGAGGAGAAGGATGCTAGAAGGGGAGAGGGAGGAGGGCGAGGAGAGGAAGATGGAGGAGGAGGAGAGAGTACGGAGGAGGAGGGGCATACCCTCCTCTCCTTACACTCCCCTCCTCCTCCTCATGAGCTGTGCTCTAATTCGTCATTACAGGGAATTGTAAGCGTCTTTCATTTTTCCCTGGCAATATTTACGTTGGTGCTTCCAGTCCTCGGAGCTTCCTTCGGGCGTTGATCATGATGGCCCCCTGCTCGTGAAAATTTTCCTCCGTCTGGCTGCATTTGAAATAAATAAGTATACTGTAATTGTATTGTTCCTTTTACGCAAAACATCGGCTGAAGATGACTCAAGTATAAGATCTCTAACATTTCGCATCGCGCACTCAACTGAGAACAAAGTTAATGTTTAATCCCGGCTGTTTCGTTCCAGGCAGCTTGAAAATGTCCACGTTTCTGAGGTGACGGCAATTTCATTTTGATATCAAATTTATTAGCAAGATCGAGTATATAGGGGTACTGGATCTCGGTTTAAATATAGATATCTGCGATCTTGTTAAAGGGGCAATGCAACGATTTGTGTACTTTGCGCCCTGACGTTAAGGACCTGTGAAACACCGGTTCGTTTTTTCACAACGCGCAATTGAAGTCACAGACAAAATTACAGAAAAACGAGCAGAGTTCACCCCTTCAACTCGCAGCCAGAACAAGGAACCACGTGGTCTAGAGGCGATTATATGCCGCCAATGTTGATCATAGCCACGCGCTTGGGCTGGCAAGGCACAGGACACGCGCTGAGTTCCGGACTTTGTGATGTTTCGACTATTCTCGTCATTGCAGCGATCGGACACGGGCGACTACCCGAATGCTTTTCGAGCCATCGATTGTCACGAGCCCAAATTGAGTGTCCACGCAATGCTCGGGTCCAATTTATAAGCCGCATTCAAATATTGTCACTGTAGGATACTGCGATCTCCCAGTTACGTCATCAAGTTTCGCGAAGGAGAGATTGAATGGAAACGCTCGCTTTTGTCCTTAAAATTACACCGCAAAAAAAGGAGTTTATTGGCCAGTGGCGATGCGCGCAGTATCCTCGAGGCCCACTAGTGCCAGTAAGCTTGTGTAAAGTGATAAACATTCCAAAGAACGTCGTTCAACCACCCCTTTAAAACTCCGCTCAAGTCTAATAGCTCATATCCCTGCAAACTATAGAATATTTTATCTATCCTACATAAAAATATCAAATTATATTTTTAAAGATTTTATTATCAAAGACATAACAAGGTGAAATAATGGCTCAAAGTAAGACATATTTGCATAAAATGCATTATTAATCAGGTTGTGGGAAAAAAGTATGAACACGCAGGAGGAGAAAAAAAGACTAATCTTCTCAACTTCATCTTTTTCTAAATTTTTATAACCTATCAATTGAAAAAAGCTTCCAGAATAAAGCCAAAGCCAATTGGTTTCAACTCGTTCAAATCTGCCCCGGGAATCGGATAAAAACATTGGAAGAAATATGAGAGTAAAATCCACTTTTCACTCACTGAGGCCTAATTAGGGAATGGTAGACGTAGATGCCAGAAACGATCGCAGCTAGAAGGGAACCTGGCACGGTCATGACCAACCAGGCGGAGGCTGACATCTGTCCATGGGGCGATTGGTGCCTGCATTGAGCGCGTGGCAGTGCATATGAAGCTATCAAAGTTATTCATCTTGGTGATTCCCGGTCAAAATATTCATCGAGACAAAATGTCCATCCAGCCAGAATGTCCAATATTGTACATTTTGACCCTGTGGACATTTCGTCTCGATGGTCGTTTGACCTGGATGAATTTTTTGCTTCGATTGACATTTCGTTCTAATGTACCCGTTAGACAGTTTACATTATTGACTCCTATTTTAACACTGGTGTTGACACTCACTTGTATACATATAGGGTGTACATACATACCCGTTCTTCCACAAACGGTCATAATCTGAGAAGTCGTGCAAATCTAAGTAACTTTTTAACTTTTTTTGATCAACCATATTTTCCTGTGCCGGATGTTTTAGAAAAGAGCAGCTTTTTTCCCATTCAAAAACTAAAACAAAAGTTACTGCCAGCTCAACCTCCACAAGAGCGTGCCCAGGGATCTGCACAAAATGCCGAATGTTCAGAGAAGAGTGCCAAAAGTTCTAAAAGGTTTGAACAATTAAAAAAAAAGCCAATGCCAAACTATCTAGGGCGCGTTCGCTGACTACAGTTTCACAAATTTAGTAATTTAAAAACAATTACAAACATCTGGTCCCGCGAATCATTGTTTTTTTTTTTTAATTCGCCAAATATAAAAATTCGCAAAAAAAAAAACAAAAAAAAACTCGAATTTACTGTATGCACGGTCTCCGGTATCGAACTGCTGGAGTTACGTTTTGGCAAATATGAATGATGTTAGCGCTCCGAAAAACAGGGTTGTACCCGCTCCAATTGGCCCGTATATTGGTGGTACCTATCGGTTGATAGAGCAAAAATTGCTACACAAATATTGTAGAAGTTTTGTCATTTTGATGACATAATGTCAGGAATATGTGAAGGCAAAGATTTAAAAAAGAACGAACTCGAGAATACCTTCTTGGCTCCAAATGACGGGCAACGATTTTCTGGCTCCTGTACTAATTTTGAAATTTGGAACATTAACGCGCTAGCTTCGGCTGAAAGTGAACGAGCTGCTCATGATGCCGTTTGTAGCAGAAACTTTTAAAATAGAGCTCCAGAACAAATGCCACATTGTTCCCTCAAACAACGTTACACTTCACCACACGACAAGGCCCCCGGACACAGCAGAGTGACCATCCTACATATTTGCATACTTGACGGAGCGGAGGAGGTGGGGCGCTCGTTGAAAGAAAATTCGTAAAAGGAAAAATCGTAACAGGGCTATTGGTCACATAGGGGAATTCGTTATACGACACTTCGTCACTGGGTCAACTGGTCAAACACCGAGAAAAGGGTGGCATGGAACGTGTATGTGTGAAAAAAAAGTTTCAAATACCACTTTACTTTTTGCGCATTTTGCGGTTTCGGAGATTTCAATCACTTTTGTTTTCTGGGTTTCGAGTTCAATCCCTTTAGGAGTGTATTTTGTTGAATTTCCGAGACTTGCAAATAAACAAAAAAAAAAAAAGGACCCGATGGACATTTTGATTTGGTGGGAGTTTTGACCTTATCGGACATTTCGCCTCGATCGACATATTGACTCGGTGGACATTTCGACACGCATCTCACGTGACCCATTGTATATTTTGACTCGATCGACATTTCGTCTCCATGGATATTTTGACCAGAAGCCCATCTTGGTAACTGAAGAGTCAATTCAACGAATTTGTTTGGTGACGCGAAAACCTTTCGTTGGCTCTCTCTGCGCACAACTATAGACGAGGTCTTCAAATTTCCGCACTCAAATCGGAAGCACAACACAAAACTTTACATGAAACGTACCAACGGGCCTCGCGCCCACACGCCAGAGTGGGAGGAGGATGTCTTTTCTGACGAGTGGCTTATATCTGTTAGAACAACCGGGCAAGTTGCCAAAGGTAGCAATTCTTTTAGTAAAAGAGAAGAACCTAGCACCCCTTCCCCTTGGACTGAACGACAATATTAGTCTCAAGATTACTTTGTACTAAACAAAGATATTAGTCTGAAGATTACTGGACGTATCACTTGGATACATACGAAGAAGCCATCGTTCACGGCTAGTACTACATCTCTAGATCAGAATCACAGCCTCCAAATTTTGCGCACTTATGCAGTGAATGCGTTCACTATGTTCGTTCCTCGGAAAAGGGGAACCGCGAAGCTAAGTGGGTGCCCCAGCATGAAAAAGCATCTCAAGAATGTTAAGTTGTAATTTGTAGCAATTGTGAGTGTGACTCGCAACAAATAACTTTAGAACCCATTCAGTAGCACACATTCTGAAGGGTTTAATGGGTGCTCCTATAACAAACTATGCATTGTCGCTTTCTTACATATTTGTTAAAGCATTTGTGAAAAAAAAATATTTCGTTCAAATAAAACTGTAGAAACGAGGGGCTTCCACAGTGAGTCTATTGAGTTAGTGACTGTGGCGTAAGCAGTGAAAACTCTCATCGGTGCACATGACATGCTTTAAAGGCCGACGACCACATACGAGATTCTGCAAGGCAGAAGATCCTCCTCACCCTGGGGGAGGAGGAAACACGCAGCGGTGGACAGCGTAGAAGACGGAGAGGAGGAAGCGGGGGGAAAGTGGAAAGCGCGAACTGGTCGTCGGGTTTTTAAGAGAAAATGATACAGACGCTAGACTTGATACTGGTGGAACCCTAAGAAGGTTTAGAAGTATTTTTTCAACTGCAAATACAAAGTACATAGGTTTTGGTCCGTTGGCGAAATTCTGCTAGCCAATACTTTCAGCCTTTCTACTCTGGTGAAGAAAAAAGAACAGTGGAGCCGTAGCTTCTGTTTTTTGGGCGGTGGCTTTCCAGGCGAGCGGTCTGCTCTTTTTTCGCAAGGGAATCTGAAGCGCTCGACGCAGTGGAACTTTAGGCGATAGCGGCCTCGCGGCAATGGACTTCTTCCAAAACCGACGCGCCCCATCGCGGCAAAATACCACGCAGTGCACTCTGGGAACTAGTTGGCCACTCAGTTCTGGTTTCGAGTGAGCAGGTTCATATCATGATATCACGCCACAACCGAACGCGCTGATTGCGTTTTCGATTATCTGACTTTTTACGAATGTACAATACACTCATTCTCGAGCGATACAAAACGAAGACCGGGGCACTTTCTTTGGTTCCCGAAACACCGGATATTGTCCGTGCGTATGCAAACATAGTAAGACATGGCTTAGTCACCTCACCCCACGAGTGCATCTTTGAGCTCATTGTTAGTAATCCCGTATAGTACCAGTGAACCACAACTGAAATTTGGTCACCTTGAGCCCTACACGTATTTTGTTGGCCAAACGTTCGCTTCTTGTTACTTAATTGGACGAAAAGCAAGCCGCATCTTCACTGGATTATCAAAGTTGAGCCCAGCGTTGGCGCATGATTTTTTAAGGAAACGCAATAAATTCGACCTCACTACTGCAAAAAAGTGACTATGATGTCTTCCTCGTGTCATCACATATCTCCCACTCAAATTTTATGCTGATAGAAGGTATAAGTTTTCGCAAACACTGAGATCGGCTTGCTACGACGGAGGCCCTAACAAGCGTCCCCTACTCCGCACTAAGCCTTTTCAGACGAGCTTTCCCTGACGCCCAAGATCTGTGCCTGAAAGGTGTGTCTGAAATTATCTCGGCAT